CGGGTACGGCTGGGCTACCTCCTTGATGATCGTTTTGGACAGGACTTGCTGTTCGTGTCCGTGTTGGAAGTCATGGCCGCTCAACTCGTGACCGAATCCGTAGCCGGATCCGTAGCCGTAGCCGATGTCGAACAGACTCCGTTTGTTCTGGGCCTTATCGTCGGTAGCGGCAACGGACTTTTCTGTCGGTTTGCTTGCGGTTTCCGTTGCCAACGCGCAGGCGCACAGGCTGAACGCGCACACTAAGCTGAAAAATCCTTTCATTGTGGTTCGACTTGGGATCGGATCGATCGACTGATGTTCTATCGTCGGATCAACCCGTTTTTGTAGTGAAACGCACAACACGTAAAGGAACGCATTTTCATCTCCCTCTACTCGATGAGGGGGGCGAATTTTACGTTCCAATGCTATTAGAATGTCTCCTTCGTGTAGTCTTCGGACACGCTCGTTCGGACCTTGAAAAGTAAACGTAACCAAGGAGTTGCTCAGCGTTAATGACTGTTACAAATGCACGCACGTTAACGAAATATTATAACTCAGGTTTTCAATGTGTAATATATGTTCACCGTACGTATATTTTTAGATACAATGTAGGTTGCACTCTTTGTTTTTTATTTTTATCGACTTCGTAGGTATTATATTACTTTATTACTCGCTGAAGTTTGATATTATGTATGCATTCTTATCGAATAGCTCAAAACAAACTAGTTGCTCGAAAACAAAATAATTACATAATAGGTATCTTACATTTTTATTATAAGCGTATAATTTAGAAAAATCAAATCTAACCGAGGGCCAGTGTACGAGTATATACAACTGTAATTTATAGTTTATACCTAATTCGATATCATTTATAAACCCGTATTGACATTTATTGTCAAACTTAATTAAACCTAAACGAGTTCTATTATCTAAACAATCACATACAATATTTTTAAGAAGTTTGAGCACAAACGATTTGGTTGAAAATATTTTTTTTGAAAAGTGGGAGTTTTAATTCCTCGTAAAAATGTTGAGTAATATTTATTTACTTTGAAGAATTCTCACCATTGTTTTACATTACACGGCCCTATTGCAATTATGTTACAATATAAAAAATTATATCACTTTTTGGGTTAACCGAAATGCTTTCAATGGATAATCTCTTGCGACATGGCAACCATTTTGTTTTACCAAAAATTATAATAATTATTATTTTTTAAATAACATTATCAAAATCAATAAGAAAACTATGGGTAGGTATTTCTTAATGATTTATTTATCTTTATCAAATTATTACTTTTTCCGTCATCGATTTCAATTATTTATGCATTTATGAGTCTGTATATCATAAACATATATTACAATAATTAGAAATAATTAATAAGTGTATAGTTTTTAAATTATTTGTATAAACTAAAAATATATTATCTCAACAATATCGAATAATGCATGTACTGCACCGTAATTGTAATTTAGCACCTCAAGGCAACAGAAAAATGCCACGCCCTTATTGCCCCCCAGTATTGACAAAAAAATTATATTTACATATGCTATTGATATTTAAGAAACTAATTTTTTTATATACATTTTGAATAATATTCCTGTAACATTTGAGGTTTTTTTTTTACCGACTAGTAACGTAAAAGATAGTTAGACAGTTAGGTATAATTATTGCAGATATTATTAACTTTAATTAATAACTCCGATATATGTGAAATATCATAATATTGTTATTTCTATCAAATTCAACATGTTTCTATGGTTAAGTTAATAGTTATAAGATATTTCTGTCCTACCGTCTTTCAATCAATGAGTTTAGTCAAAGATAGTTTCTCACTGCACAATTAATTATTAGAAATAAAAATTTTTTTTTTTTGATTTCTGTTGTTTATATAAAAAATAATATGGATGTAAAACAAAGGACATATGAAATATTTTTAGTAAGGGTTTTTTTTTGTGCAGGTAGTTAAAATATTATTAAATATAATCTTAAAATATAGTAAAACAGTTTAACATAAATTATAGTTAAATTATTTTTTAAATCTTATGCAAGAACGCATTTCAGTCATTACTAAATTTAGAATCTCCATATTTCTCTAATATTATATGTATCAATGAAAAATTATAATTACGTTAAAATTGTTTTTCGTTTATATACTATTAGATTCCTTTTACATTTTATTTATTGTCATCAATACAACTATATCATATGTTGATATAAATTAAAATAAATTGAAAAAAAAAAAAAAAAAAAAAAAATACAAAAGTTATATTTTCACAACAATAAAATTTATAATTTAATTAATAATAAGATATAATTCATCCAACGTAAAACCCACTTTTCAAAAATATTTTAATATTAATTGAAAATATACATTAATATATCAGTTATCTGATAATTTCGTTAATTAATTCACATAACAGATGTTTTCCATTAAGATTAAATTATTTATTTTTCTTATATACAAAAAGTTTTTCATGAAAAAAAAAATGTTCATCAAGTTGAGTATAACAGAGTTAATGCGAATAAAATGTTTGATATGAAGCACCAATACAATATTACACAGAAACATAATAGTAAATATATAATTATATCAACAATTGGTTGTATAAACTTTATAAAAAGTCATATTTGAAATGAATATAACGTTCGTCGCAATTGATGTCAAGTAATCAGATATTATGTTAGAACTTATAATAATCGTTATAAGATCTATAGATAAGATGCTAAAAATATCGTTCAATTATAAAATTTTAATTAATAGCGTATTTTCCCATACGTAATGATATTTAAGATATAACGTCGCAATAATTAACATCGGCAAATGCAAAGTAGAAAGTGTATCGTATTGCCAAACACACAGAGAGGGGGGGGGACAGCGCTGGACTGCTTCGACGAACAACACCCGACATTACAAAAGCCAAGCGTACGGAGAAGAAGATATCAGTTAATGTTTTCACTCGAATCGAACAACAATGAAGATGCTTTTACTTAGCACGTGTGTTGTAGGGTTGTGCGTCTTTGCTGCGGGTGCCAGCAAGACGGAAGAAAAGAAACTCTCCAACGATGGCAAAAGCCACGGCAAAAGAGGAATAATCGATACCGGTTACGGTTACGGTTCCGGATTCGGTTACGAGGTGAGCGGTCACGACTTCCAACACGGACACGAACAGAAAGTCCTGTCCAAAACGATCATCAAGGAGGTAGCCCAGCCGTACCCG